CCCAAAAAACCCTTGCCGAAAGAAATTGGCCGGAGCTTGATGTTATAGCCTTTCTCGAGAAATGGACTAACCAAAACCATTTTTTAATTTAACGTTCCAGAGATTTACACGATCAAACAAACAAACGCTTTATATTTTATAAAATTAGCAGATATTTTGTGTAAATTTTGTTATACCCTATCGAGCATAGGGCGATAATATTTCTGCGTCCGTATGCAATAATCGATTCTATTTAGACGTTCTCTTGTTAGACTTCTGTGTACTGCCAGAACAATATATTGTTTTCACATCGTGTGCTGATAAGGGACGGACTGAAAATCAACGTTTAACAAAATGCAAATCTGACGCCTTTTAGCAGAAAGTTTAAAATTGTGCTGTTATACATTTTCCAAAGAATATGAGTTTTATTTCAAGTTACCTAGATGGTTTGTGTTAATAAGCGGATTCATTTAAACTGCTCCTTCCCACATATTATTTTTAATTGTGACGTGTTAAAATTCTATTGAAATAAATGGTGCAATAATAAAAGTAAGCGCTCCTTTGATTGTGCAAATAGTGGAAATATTCTTTATTGCAAAAATGTACATTCAGGTCGATGATATTTTGAATCGTGAAGGTAATGCGAACAGCCAACAGCCAACAATATGTTGCTGAGGCCAGCAGGAAATAATATTTAGAGTAATGTCCACATTATAAATACGGAAAAAATATCTGTCTAGGGTAACAGTCCCCGCGTAACCTTGAAAGCAATGGCAGCTACACGAGGATTTTTTGCCGCAAAATGTTAAGCTCGATTTGAGTATTCGATCGGAGATTGGACTTTGCGAAGCTTGGAATTTTTATAACCGTCTCAAAATGGCGGAAACATTTGCTTTTCATTATAGTTATAAACAAGACACACACAAACATATACGGTGTTATTACGCCATATATACCTATATATCTCGACAAGAAGCGCTGTCGACCCATTTTAGCTTTGGAACTTCACAAATCCGCAAACAGAACCGCGATTAAAATTTGACTCTTCCATCTGTGGATGGTGGTTCGTGGTCCGGACGGAATTCATCTGAACGAAGTCCTACATGCTTTAGAAGAAATATAAATTATAATTGATATTGGATCTGGTGGGGACCAAACCCATGAACCGTTCTTTTTTAGCCAGATGTTGTTATCATTAGACCAACGAATATAAATTATAAAAAAGTAAAATAGAAAGTGCTAAATTTCTGATTATAAGTGTCTGTGCGCGTGTATAGAATATAAAATGTTATCGATTCATTAAAAAAGCGGCTGATAAGGCGCGAAAGGAATCAACTATACCAAACTATACGAAAAGGATAGTTAATCATGTCTAAAGCGTAGAAGAAGTGAAAAACCACCTATAATTTCAGAAAGTTCTAGTACTGTACAAAGATGGTATATAAATGAAATATCATAAGTCGATATAAAGTAAGAATATACAAAAACAGTTGCAGATATTCAGTATTTATAAGATTTGACCGGGACAAAAAATAACATTACAATATTATATATTATGCTCAACTTCATAAACTACATCCGTGAATGAACAATTTCTTTACATATCAAACGTCATAAGCATCTTAAAATGGTATGATTCAAAAAGTATATAAAATTGATTATTATATTGTAATTATCATTGATATTGTTTAAAAGCTTTAATATTTTTACACGTTATTGCACTGCAATGAATACGTTCAAAAATCTATTAAGTTTGAAACAATAATTTTCAAACGGTACTTGAACCGGCAACCAAAGCCTTCCGTGCTGCTGCTGTCACCAAGAAACGGTAGTACAATTAGTTATGAGCAGCAGCACAAAACGCTTTGGATGCCGGAGCAAGTCGCGCCCGTGTAGTCATTTTTTCAAAACAAGTAGATTTCTATATATATTAAAAAATTGACGACCCTTAATGGTTAGAGTAGCTACACGTATCTCTGTGGTCGCGGGTTCGAGTCCTACGCGTGTCATCAAATGTAAAATAGGTTTAAATTATTTTTATGTCGTAATTTACCCTCTCGTTAACGTATATATTGTAGCTTATAGTTTTTCTACTAGATAATCCTTTTTCTACTTATTTTTTCTGCATTATTATATACATTAATAATTCAACCATCGAGCTCTTGGCATTGGGAAGAAGGAAACGTTCATGGCTGTCGCCTTATTTAAAATTAATATCTCCGCAAAAAATACAATTAATAAGTAAATTATTGCTCATTTATTCACAGTGCGTTCAAATGTAATTAGTTAAGACAAAACAAATATTACTACTTCAAGCGTTTTCCAGTTTCGTCCGTATTAGGCGCTTTCCATCCAGGATAAGAAAAGAGACACCTTATAACAACATTCACGAAGAAATGGGAAGATATGGTAGTACATAGTGATACATGAAATAACCAATTGGGGTACGAAACCTATCGTGGGCTAGGGCTAGGCTAATCCCGGGAAACAATAGATTGCTACAGTCGTTTAGGACACAAGAGTAAATCTTGCGTCCTAAACGATATTTATGATTTCTATAAGCCCGTGACGTGGGCAGGCCACGAACCTGTGACGTACGATATTATCTTTAATGATTGATTCTATGTACACTAATTTATAAAGCTGAAGAGTTTGTTTGTTTGAACTCGCTAATCTCAGAAACTACGGGTTCGAAATGAAAAACTATTTTTGTGTTAGAGCATTTCTCGAATAAAACATCGCGCTGGGATTAATAGAAGCGAAGATACAGCGGGAAATGTGAACTAAACGGGGTAAAGTTTTCATCTCTGTGGGTTTCTGATGCGTACGCTGCGGAAACGGTTCAAGACACCCAAAAAATATGAATAAAGGAATGATACCTCTTTAAATCACGTAAAAAAAGTCCACGACGTATATCTTCCTTTTAAGATTAACTTGCAAGAACGACGGGAAGGGACGCGACCGATGTCGTGGGTAACAGCAAGTTTATAAAGATGAAGGGGTTTGCAAAAACAAATTTGAATGCCCAAAATAAATATTCTTAGCGGAAAAAGTCGCGCTGTAACAACTAGATGTAAATAAAACCGGTCAGAGACAGTGGACACAGAAATGTTCGTCCCATGCCCCAAGACGAAAAACAGATTTTAATGGGTATAGTATTTGCTCGATAAACTACTTAATTGTATATTTACAATTTTTTACTATGAGGTCGTGAGCACGGTGCTACAGTGTGCCTTATCACAAATCTTGATAAGAATTACGGTTAACCTAACTGTAGCGGTCACGTCCATATCACGTCTTAGGGCACTACACACGAATTGATATTCCGTCCCGCTAATGTCTTCCGTCTTTTTTCATACATATTTTGACTAGATGTGCTCGCGACTTTGTCCGCGTGGAGAAATCATTTTTGGCATCATATTAATTATTTTTGCAAAGCTCAGCTTTACAAATTATAGGAGTTACCCACGACGTCGTCCGCGTTGAAACATTTCGCGTACAAACAAACAAACTCTTCAACTTCAACAACGAGATACTAAACTTAACTTACTAGACTAAACGGTCCATATGTTATATCGAACGTGATACCGCGAGCTTATGATCTGTACCCACCTTAAGTATCAACGTTTAACTCAAACCTGAAAACTGGCTCAGATAATTTCAAATTGCTTGAATATGTATATAAAATTGAGACGGGATCGTTCTTATTTAGCGATTTATGGCTAATAGTCAATGGGTCTAACGTGTTTCTGATGAATTTATATTCTTGCTATATTTAAATAAAACACTTTAACGGTTTAAAACGCGATATATTAGTTAAACTTATTTGAAAATGATTTTTAACTTCGGCCCGACGTTTCGGATGCTTTTGCAGCACCCGTGGTCACGGGGAGACTCGCGTAAACTATAGACAGTATCTAATTCTATCTATTACAAAAAAACGCAGCGAAATCGTATGCGTAAAAAACGACTTTGTTTTAAGTATATTTTTTTTGTTAAATCAATATATAGCCGTTGCGTTTGTAAGACAAAGAAGATGTACATTACATTTCCACTGAAGACTCCTTCTGACGCAGTCAAATGACGTAGGCATGTAAATGTAAAACCGGTATTCATTTGATTCTTAACTTTTGCGGGAAGTGAAAGTCGACCTTAATGACTTGTTACGTGTTTTGCGAGCTGTTTAATAGTGTCTGTTATTGCTAGAGAAAGTAAGAAAATAATCTATACTAATATTATAAATCAGAAGAGTTTGTTTGTTTGAATACGTTTATCTAAGGAACTACCGGTCCGAAATAAAAATGTCTAAAAACTTTTTGGGTTGATTAGAGCATTTATCGAGGAAGACTTTAGCCTATAAACATCACGTTACGACCAATAGGGGCGAAGAAACAGTGGGAAATGTGGAAGGAACTATGGCACAGCTAAATATTTCCACACGCTTTTACAATGTACATGTATGTCTACATTATACCTACTCTGATTGATTTTAGGTACAGGTTAAAAAGTAGTCCGGTTGGCACATTATGCCATTTACTAATTCTTCTGTTATTATATCCGGATGCAAACCCAAAAAACTCTTGTGATTAACCACTTAGGCAGTAGTGTTTAATTTTAAAATTATTTTTTGCAATTTGAGTAATAGTTTATTATATATAATAAGTTCTTGGTAAGATACGTCACGAGAATAATATTTAATTAATTTTATATTTTCTTAATGGGTAATTAAAGCCGCAAGAGCAGTTACAGTCACAAGATTTTATTACAATACACACAATAGTCATTTAATACCAAATAGAAAAAATACCTATAATGATTACATAAGAAATTTGTGATTCAGTACCAAACGGTGTATTTTAAGTTCCTAGGGCTAGGGGGCAGAGGTCAATGACCTTGCGGCAGTTTGATAACATAATGCACGGTATAGAAGAATTTTCACAGTAATTCAATTACAATAAAGCTAAATACCGCGTTACTGTCGTGTTATATAATGTTAACTAATAGGTGATTAAAATACTTACATGCCCATTTTCCTTTCGATTTGAAGTCCACTTTATTCACGACAGGGCCGATAATATAAGTGTACACAAGATTAACTATACTTTTAACTATATAAAAAACCACAGCTATTAAAAAAGCCAACCCCAATTTCTCCAACGCGCCGTAGTTAGCCATTTTTACGTAAACAAACCGCGTATTTTGTTTTAAATTTTAGGTTATTTATTTTCGCTTCACTCGCCCAACTGACACACTTATCGCATGCGCACTGGCTAGTCTGACGTCTCGCGTTCGAAGAAAGTTACTGCGCGCATCGATACGTCACAGACTATTAATATAAGTACAGATACTACACGCGACAGCTGTAGCCATCGACTGATTAAAAAATTAAAATTCAACGAACAGTTGACCGCTTCACAAATACTTTAGTTCCCGGTTTGGATAAGGACGGAAATATAAGCCTTCTCGCTCTGCCATTTGATTGTGGTTACCACGTCATACTAATTTGCGTTCTTATTAACAAGCTATTGACCATGGCTTCGATCCCGCCAATTTAGACATTACACAATATAGCCATTAAAAATGTCCATCATTTTAAAGGAAAAATAACACTTATCAGACGCAGATTTATTTTCTTTTTAGGTTTAGCTTAAAGGAAGCAAGATTTTCCAACATGCTATAGACTCCTACTATAGCATGTTGGAAAATCTTGCTTCCTTTTTGTGGTTTGTTATAGATATATTTCTGTGTCTCTTGCCTGATCTATACAATTTATTATGTTTCCCGTGATTCAATCCAAAGACCAAAACACGCTTAGTGCTATTTTAAACTAAAAAAACCACAAGGTATTAAATCAAACTATATTCTTATATAACGAACAACTGAAACAATTTTCATTATTAATAATATGTAATTGTGTATTATTATCTAATTATATATTCCACGTTTTTTTTCGCATTCGCGGTATCTTCGCTTCTATAGTAATTATTGTTACGATGTACTGAATTTGTATCGTAATAAGGTGAGAAAAAAACAAACTGGCCATCAAAAACACTATAAAGAAGAAAACATCTGGGCAACTTCCGTTATTCTATCAAGGCCAATATGTCAGCAGTCCATTTAAAATTGGGGGAACACTGGTGTCCGCAGTTAAAAAGTCATAAAAAATATAGTCGTAATAAGTTGTAAAATTAATATAAATTGTAAAAAATATGTAAACTTATAAAGGTATTTTAAAATAAAAACATCAGGCTAAGCCCAATAGGATCAAATAATCTGGGAAATGTGGAAAAAAATTGAGATATTTGAGGGTATCATGGGCTACGAAAACAGTACAAACTACCCAAAAAAATGTACAAAATAATTATTTTTCATTAAATAATCTAAAAAATGCCCGCAACAGTATATTGATTGATTATCTCGCGAGAACCGTTCTTTATGGTAATTATATTTTTCGAAATATATCAAACTAGCTGTGCCCGCGACTTCGTCCGCGTGAAATAGGGACTTGGGCTAGAATTTTTAATTATTGGGGCTGTTAAGGCAGCCAATCTATGGTAAGTGCTACTTTGCCGCAACACTCTCACCTCACATCACTCCTACTTTCATTCCTACACTCACTCCCACGCCCAGGCTCACCACTACCCCCACTCCCACCCGTATTCCCAAAAAGTCAAAGAAGAAAGTTTCATTGTTCTAGCTTCAAAAACCACGAATTTCCATACATACTTTCACCCCCCCTTTTAACCCCTTACAACTTTTCGCAATAAAAGTTATGTCCTTTCTCAGGATCTAGACCATCTGTATACCAAATTTGATTCAAATCCGTTCAGTAGTTTTGGTGTGAAAGAGTAACAGACAGACAGAGTTACTTTCGCATTTATAATATTAGTAAGGATTCAAAAAAAGGTTTGCCAGGTCAGCTAGTAACTAACACGTATTTTTTGAAAGGAGATAGGGTGTAATATTATTCAATAAGTGTTTTTTTATACAAGATTGATCATCAAAATAGTTTGGAGTTCCAAACGCATGTTGAGTTTGTTTTTCATTTAAACGCTATTACGTAATTGTAATTAATAGAGACAATATATTCATTAAATGCTAAAGATTCAACTTAATTCGTCATAAACATGCAAGGATTAACATTGGTTCTTATGTACAGTAGAAATTCCCTTTACTGTAAGGCAATCAGGTCAAGGCATTGCTTTTTTTCTTACCAAATCTGTCATTGTGTACCTTTTAGAATATGCCTTTAAACAGGATCTATTATAAAAAGTGGGGTTTTCTTGACCGAGTTTACAACAAGGTTGAAATATATTAGTCCTTTAAAGTTACGTAACCTTTTATAGACCATAGGTTTATATTAACTACCGTATTAAGAACAGTAAAATAGTATTCACTTAAAGTTTAGACGTTCCCAGAAGTGAAAGAACAAATTTCGTAAAACACCTTCTAGAACTTTCCAGGAAGATATTGAATACGGGAAGATACAGTTTCTATGTCGTTACTTGAAAAAATGGGATTTATAGTTTCATTTAAAGATTTATTTAATTTAAATATGATTAAAGGTTGACAAAAACATATACATATTTGCTACAAAACCATAGCGTTCCGGGCTGTTGATTTGCAAATTTAATATCTGTATATAGAATTACAAATTAACATAATAAATATAAGCAACAAGGGTAGGACAAAAAATACAAAAATGATGCTAAACTTTTCGCTTGGAATATACGAAAAAGAAATAAGTTTGGAAGGCCGTGAGTTTTTTTTTTTTTTTTTTTTTGGGGGGGTGTATTTTTAAATTAAAAAAAAAAAAAAAATTTTTTTTTGGGGGGGGGGGGGGGGGGGGGGGGGGGGGGGGGGGTGTGGTTGGGGTTTTTGTGTTGGGGGGGGGGGGGGTTGGGTTTTTTTTTTTTTTTTTTTTTTTTTTTGTTTTTGTTTCGATCCCCTTCGGTGGAACTTCAATCATTTATTATTTTGGATGGAACATGTCTCTAATCATTTTATTATCTTTCTAAAAAATGTTGGTCTTCGTCTCAAAATCTGGATATTAAATGATTGGCAGGAATATCGATATTCCGTCCGGGTCACGAACCATATTCCACAGATGATTAAGCCGTGAAGTTTAATCGCGTTTTTAATCTGTGGATTTCAAAGCCAAAATACCCTCCAGCACATTTTGTTTATATGATATTGGCTGGAGTGTATCACCTACTTTCAAGACGACCTTGCTTGTCAGTCCGAAATAAACAGATTGCCGACAACATATTGTAACAACTAACATAGTAAGTGATTGACATAGCCGCCCTAACTTATAGTTCACAGAAGAAACCATAATATCCTAAAAGCCTCGCTCCTTACACAAAGTTTCTAGGACTTAAACAGCGGCTGCTATAGTTAATTAATTTCCTATAAGCTTTAGTATCGTCAAAATAACTCTGAAACTTACCAACATGTTTTAATTAAAAGTGTAAGGCGACAGTTAGGCGGGCGGAAGTGGAAGCGCCTATTGTGTTGATAAATTGATTTTGTTCTCATCTTCAACGTTTTAATTTGCTTAGAAATAATGGTCTGTTGATTGCGTTCGTGGACTTTTCTCGACTTTCAGCGAAACTAAATAGTTCACTCCTATAAAACCTTCCAGGATCATAAGATGAGGTTATATATGCGAATAAAACATATTTTAGCAATTTGGGTGTTAAGTCTCATATTTCAATTTTATATTTTGACATTAGTTTTTTAATGATGGGAATAATATTTCCCTTAGCGTGAAAGTGTTAATTACATGTACACATTATTATTAAGAGAACAGTGAAACCAACAAAGATATATGTTTGTCTCATACTTGGGTTGCGAGATAATTATATAATACGTATAGTTGTTCATACAAAGTGGACTTAAATGTGAGTCCTGTTTTCAATCTTTATAATCTTTTAACTGGTTATTAAAAGAATTTGTTCTAAGCTAAATACTGTCTATAGGTTACGCGAGTAGTACACATTTTAATAAAACACTTTAACGGTTTAAAACGCGATATATTAGTTAAACTTATTGAAAATGATTCTTGGCCTGCTGCAAAGCACCAGAAATGTCTGGCTGAGGTTAAAAATTTTTTCCAAATTTTTTTACTTTTTTTTCGCTTTTTCCCCCCCTCTTTTTTTTTTTTTTTTTTTTTTCTCCCCCCTTTTTTCCCCCCCCCCCCTTTTTTTCCTCCAAAGGGGGGGATTTTTTTTTTTTTTTTTTTTTTTTTTTTTTTTTTTTTTTTTTTTTTTTCCTTTTTTTCCCCTTTTTTTTTTTTTTTTTTTTTTTTTTTTTTTTTTTTTTTTTTTTTTTTTCCCCTTTTTTTTTTTTTTTTTTTTTTTTTTTTTTTTTTTTCCTTTTTTTTTTTTTTTTTTTTTTTTTTTTTTTTTTTTTTTTTTTTTTTTTTTTTTTTTTTTTTTTTTTTTTTTTTTTTTTTTTTCTTTTTTTTTTTTTTTTTCCCCCCCCCCCCCCTTTTTTTTTTTTTTTTTTTTTTTTTTTTTTTTTTTTTTTTTTTTTTTTTTTGTTTGGTTTTTTTTTTTTTTTTTTTTTTTTTTTTTTTTTTTTTTTAGTACGATGTTTTATCCTAAAGCCTTATTAGCCTCTCTCGATAAATGCTCTAACCAACACAAAATACTTTTTCAATTCGAACCCGTAGTTCCTGAGATTAGCGCGTTCAAACAAACAAACTCTTCAGCTATATATTAGTAATATAGATAGATAATGTATGTGTATAATATTTGCACATTTGAAAACTTGTTTGTTTTTTTTTTTGGTTAGAACAACAGCACGGAACTCTGACCATGCCGATTCAAGTCCTGCCCGAGTAGAATTTGTTTTCGATTTTTAAACTATTATTTACACATTTATGTAATAAAACAAAAAAACAACCAAAAGAAACTCGATAACAGGTAAGTCGCGATTGCAGAAACATTCGCGCTCAACTTTGGACTTTCCGCGCCGTCCGTTGATTAATTAATTTAAACAAAAACACTTAATTTAAATTTGGAACTCGCGCCAGCACTTGACCGGAAGCCGAAAATATTTAGTTATTTTCTCGAGTCGTGTTCGGTGGAGCGAGCTTCATGAATTTCAATGGCGCAAGCGACACGAACGCCTGTATTTTCCTTTGTCACTTTATTTACCCGCTACAGGAT